AGTCATCACCACCCACCGCCAACTCTTGGGCTACACTTTTATCAACAAATAGTGGGACTGACCGTTACATTATAACGCTCCCACGGGTGAAAGGGCGAGCATGTTTGGTTGGACGGGGATTCGAACCCGCAGTTTGCGAGTCGCGCGCCCTAACCACGTTGTTGCAGATTCAAGTTTTTGTTCAGTATTATTTATGTCTCGTGCGAGAAAACACCCCACCTAACATTTTACCATCACATTAGGCAGGTTTAGAAAAGTAGCTATAATTGTTTCGCTAAGTATGTTACGACTCTAAATTTGGCATATTTTGTTCCGCAGGTGTGGGAAAAATATTCCCTTTTGTGGTCGGCAAACAATTACTCGTTCCTGAATTCGGTTAATAATCAATTTAAACTATTATATTTTTGATACTCGTATAACTGCTACCACGTAATTTGTGTTTGATATTTTCGAAAAGCTACTCAAGGATTATCTGCGCTAGTTTGTTATGGATTTCGCGCAAAGCTACACGAGGGCTAACTGCGCTAGGCGACCCTAATTTAGCAGTGTAAGACTAGAGGGAAGGCAGCTAGTCATCACCACCCACCGCAAACTCTTTTACCAACGAATAGTGGGATTGACCGTCACATTATAACACCCACACAGCTGAAAGGGCAATCACATTTGGTGTGACGGGGATTCGAACCCGCGACCCACAGATTGCGAGTCCAGCGCTAGTCATCCCTATTTTGAACAGATAGACTGGAGGAGAGGCATCTAGTCGACACTTACCACCGCTAACTCCTTACCTTATCACGCCGAGTTTCATTCATAGCTAATACACGCAAGAGTGGTTCTTCCTTTCCAAACAAGCATTTTGCTTATGTTAATATAATTTACAAATGCAAAATTTGTTAATACAACGAAGTTTTCTTTAAACTTTTTCCTGCCATCGTTTCCACGTTAAGGCGTGGCGTATTTGACGCTTTTTCTTTCAAAACCTTTGAAATATACGTTGATTGAGTTGTGAAGATCCAATTTCATTGGTTAATATGGACGAGTACATTTAAATTCAACCAATCACCTAAGGACGAGGGTGGCGCCTTGGTTACTTAGTTTAGTCCAGTTAATTGGATTAGTACACAATTTTATAGGTACACGTGTAAAATTCATGATGGTTGATTAAAGAGAGTTATGAGCAGTAAGCATATGCGCAAAGTTTGCGGGGTAATATGACCCAGGATTATTTATTTTGGGGGCACATGCCCCCCAAAGTAAGTCTTACAATACGATCATATAATGTTACTCTACTCATCTGTAAGGTGTGGTATCATCGCGAGCCCAATAAATCGTTTACAAATTTGCAATATTAACGTACGTTTCGTGGTATCTCATATAGAAAAAAAACAACAACAAACAGTAAATCAAACAAATGATAAGAAGTTTATGTGATAGATTTCTATTTTTCTCCAGTCTCGCGTTTTCTGGCAGGGAAACTGGTCAACAACGTGTACGTGATTCCCGGAACTTCCAAATTACCTTGAGGACACAGGTGATCGGAAAACTGGTCAACATAGTGACATTAAGTGTTGAAATTAGACAAGACTTTTCAACTTGTAACTTCCGACGATTCTGTGTTTTTATTCGTTTCTTATTCATAAAAAATATTATCGCTTGTGTTTCCATACTTCAGAAAGTTTTGTGTTAACACCAGTTTCACCAACACAACCTCTCACAGGATGGGCACCATGTTTCTTTATCATCAGATGCGGTTCTATTCGAAGTTTGGTTATTCTGAATGGTGTTCGGGTATTTGTGTTAATTCAACAAGAATGGTAGCGTGTATTACGATGTTACTTTTGTATTTAAAACAGACATACTAGATAATGTTTTGTTAATTCATTTTGTTTATTATTATTTGTAATTAAGCACAAAGCTACGCAAGGGGCTATCTGTGCTCTGCCCACCACGGGTATCGAAACCCGGATTCTAGCGTTGTAAGTCCGCAGACATACCGCTGTGCTACTGGGGGGGGGGCAATTCATTTTGTGGATCAAGAAACTTAAAAGCCATATTCTATGGCAGCAAGAAAAAAGATTAAATAAAAAAACAAGATGACACTAAGTGACGGAATATATATGATATTGATGGATAAAAGGAATTGCTTATATTAACTGTAAATGTTTATTTCAAAGTGGAAGATACGTTAATCACAACCGAATACAGAAAAATAACAGGAACGCCCTTGGGAGCCGTATTTTCATATCTTTTCTGATTACAGTACTCTGGTGTAAATAACTGTGGAAGTCAGTAAGTATATGTTGACGAATCAACGATTTGGCTAATTAGGCAATTTTGTTTATTTCTATACAACTTGTTACTGTAGTAAATTATAAAAACAGGCATGTACATATAACAAGTAGATACAGATTTTGACCAATTAGAAAACAAAGCATACAACTGTTATTTTCCTATACAACTCTACCGTTACTGTAGTAAGTTATCAAACAGGCATGCACAAAGTACAAGTGATCTAGACCATCAGGAGCGGAGTAAAGAACACCAGAACAGAAGAGTAAGAGACAACCACACTAAGAAGCTAAATTCCAAATAACTGTCACCTGTGTAAAGAAAACATCTTCTAGTAGTGACTAGACCAATCAAGAGATGGTCTTGTAATAATTGTGCACAGGGTCCCCATAATCATAACCCTCAAACACAAAAAAGTTAAAACACTATGCATGCCAATTTCAAAACACATCACATGTTAAAAAAAAAATACTAGAAGCAAGTCGGGCCTAAAGAAAAATATCTACATTGCTGAACTTTAAGTAGATCTTGTAAGAGATCCAACCTTTCAAATATGGTTTAATAACTTAGCTACACTAGGTTTATACTGACTAAAACAAAAAAAAACAACAACAAGCATTAGGCTGAAAAAAACAAACTATTTTGGCATTTCAGTGAATCCGAATGAATTAATTAGCATCGTAAGACTACACCAACTATCTGAATGGTAGTTTCCCCGTGATTTACTGCTGTTCTGGAAATTCCTCAAGAAAAGACAAGGAATAATAGACACACACAACTGTGATTATTATAGGACCAAGAACACATGCGTGGTTGAATCATTTGGTATTAAAAATAACACATAACCACAGGGAGTTTATTTAGTCTGAAGAACTTATGAGTATCAACACTACTGGTTGTGTACAAGTGTTAACAATAAAAGGCTTCCTCCTAGGTGTAGCAGAGGTGGGAATGCTCATCAGTCTCCAGAGGATCACTTTTCCTGTGTTTCCGTGGGTTCTTCTCCATCACCCTGAGTATCCGATGTCCATAACTGGGCAAATACAAAGATTAAGGTTTAATTCGTCTATCAGCGACAAATATTATGCCCTTAACTACCGACTAGTTGATTTAATAAAAAGGCAAACATCTATAAAATATGGTGTATGACATAATTATCAAACTCTGAAAAGTATTTTAAGCGAAATACAAATCATACAGAAAACATTTTTCTGTTTTCCAAAACCAAAACTACACTATACTAATTTTAAAAATAAATTTCTTCAGAACAGAATTTAAAATTAACCAACATTTTTAAAACAAACTGTTTCTACACTAATAAAAGCCGGGCAACAAAACGATGATGATGACTTACTGTCAAATTGTCCCTCAGCAGCTGCATAATTAACGTACTGTCTTTATAAGAGTCTTCATTCAATGTGTCTAACTCAGCAATCGCATCATCAAATGCCTGAAAAAATTGAATGTATTCGAAGATGTCAGAGATTTTCCTACATTTTGTACTTACCAGTTTTGGAAATTAAAAAAAAATAAAAAACATTCTAAATAATTTTTCCACTGATCACGCTCTATATGTATTATCACAACACTGAATTTTTCTTACAAACACAAATGTTAGGTCAAGGTAACTGGAACTGTTTAATGCAACACAACGTAACTCTAAATAAGACGACATTTTTCATGTTAACACGAATCAAGTGATCCCAGTGTATGTAAGTAACTGTTACTCTCTGAAACAATTTAATTTGATGATACGCGCATTACTAGAGGGCTATTCGTGTGTTATGCTATAATGTAAATGTGACAAGATTACCATGTTACTTAGGAATATTATAATTTAATGTTCCTCATGAAACTTAGCATAACAACACTGAAATGCAAATTAATTTAGCTAAGTAACTATGTTGTTATGTAGACTGATTAAAACTACAAACTATTGACACCACTTTCCTGTACCGTAACTATTGACACAACTTTCCTGTACCGTAACTACTAACACCACTTTCTAGTTACGGTACAACTAACACCACTTTCTTGTACCGTAACTATTGACACAACTTTCTTGTACCGTAACTATTGACACAACTTTCCTGTACTGTAACTATTGACACAACTTTCTTGTACTGTAACTATTGACACAACTTTCTTGTACCGTAACTATTGACACAACTTTCTTGTACTGTAACTACTCACACAAAGCAGAGGAATTCAGGTAATTAAACTACACTGTCACATCAGACAACAGAAAAAGAGATTAACTTAAAAAATACCACCAGCTTTATATGAATGTCAACATGTTTACTACCTATGCTACTTTGTGGTTAGAATCTATTAACAAACCAAGCATCTGTATTTATCTTCTGTGAACCTGTGCTCAGAAGGTTGTCTTAGACTAAGGAGTTTAGTTAAGATATCCTATTTCTGTAATATCACACCAAAGAAGTATGTAAACCAGTAAAAAGTTCCACAAACCCTGTTAATTATTTTGTATAGAAGGAACAACAGACCACTGTGTATATCTTTAAAAAGAGTAGAAATCACATCTTTAGTATGTTGGAAGGTTTGCCATGTGGAACCCTAAATTATTAAAGTACCAGAGCGTGAGCACACGTGGTAATTTCACTTTCAAAACATAAATCATTTCTAGCTCCATAAAACTCCAAAAAATAAGTAATTATATTTCTGTACTACATAAATACAATACCATTATAACACAAGCACTTTCAAAAGGCAAAATTTTCTTCTTCAGAGGTAAAGAAAGCGTCCCAGTTATAGGGTATTGTACTTTTGTGTTAAGTTGACTTTTTGAAACTATGTTTTTCGAACATTAGGAATATATTCCTGAAGCGATTTAACAAAACGCTACTGTGAAACAACATTTAATTAAACAAAAATACAATACTGCAACTGGTATAAAATAAAAAGATCTGTCACTGCATTCTCAATTGAGGATACGCAAGAAACGGCTCACGGTGTCCTCAACTCATTTAAAACAATCCGAGATTTCTCGGACTACACAAATCTTAATATCATCGCACCTGAAGAAAAGAGTGCTTCATTAAAATTCTGTTAGGTCCAGTCATTGTTAAAATGTTTCAAGTTGTCAAAAACAATTTACTGTATGTCAGAATAAAACTAGAGGGCACTCAGTAAAGTGCATACCACTACCACCGATCATATATCAGTCCCTCAAAAAATACAAAAAGGTATCTGTATGTCTATCGTTATTAATGGATACGGACCATTTTTGGCAGGACAACGAAGAATAATATTCTACATATGTCCACCAAGTTTCATCAAAATAAAATCATTTTTGACTGAGTTACAGAGCAAAAACTGTGTGAAAAAACGGTTCTCATGTTAACAGATAAGGATGTTTTTGATTTTCGCGACCTCAAAACCTTTGACCCTCCAAAAACTAATCACTTCTAAGTTGGATCATAGTCCAAATGAATACCAACTTTCGTCAAAATCCACTCAGTTGTTTCTGAGAAATCTTGCCGACAAACACAGGGGTGAAAACATAATCTCCGTCCACCTTTGACGACGGATGTAAAGAGGATTATAGACGATAGAATATCACAAGTTTCATGTTTTTAAGCTAAGCTTGTCCACTCTCCTATATCAGTTTTTAGAAGCAAAAACAGACTAATCTAGTAAAAAAAAAAAATGGCATTTACTCTTTACTTATAATGGAAAGTAGAAAACAGCACAAATGACAAAGACAAATACTTATTATGGAGTTTTTAGAATGCTTACTGCTAATAATGTGAGAATGAAAGGACCTCTGTATTTTACATCCAACTTTTTTCTAATAATGAAAAGAACAACAAAATAAGTTTAATCACTTTGGTCCATGAAAATTTAAATTTTACAAATAACATATCCATTTTAAAAATAAGTTGTTTTAAAATCCCCCAAAAAAAAAACACAGTTGGTAACTTAAACAAAGGAAATGATGAAGAGTATTTATTAAACATCTGAATTTGTCTCATTTCACCTTCAAGAAAGTTTAACAAAACTAAGATAAGTGATTCGACTCATCTTCAATAAGTGTAATAACTAGTAAATAAGTTTAATCCTTTCCAGCCTGGTATCTCATTTTTATGAGGGCAAGATACACCAAGTTTTAAAAGACTGTCTATGATCCTTCACCTCATCTACAAAATAAAACCATAAGCTGTGTTGTTTCTAGGATTTTTCTCAAGTGGGACACCCATGTAATGAAGTAGGTATCAACTTTGCGAGTCATAAAAGTATAACATCAAGTAACTTTTATTTGAAGAAACAGTAAATCGAATCATTCATCTTGTTTTATTTGTATACGTACTGAAAAAATATTTACATTCACTGACAAAACTTGCATTATAGTCCTCTTCAGGCACACACGAAAAATTAAAATGAGTACCTCTATTTATTTTTTTGCATGAACTAGTATGCAGGTAAATGATTATTTTGTGCCAATGGCAATCAAAATAGCGTAAATACACAAAGTACGCGTCCTAGAGGCAACACTGTGTAAGTGAAATGTTCAGATTTAGAATTTCTTTTGAAGTATATTTTATTAAGATTTGTTTTGGATAAAGAAATAAAATCCAAACTGCTAACACTAACTTACACCATCCTCACACAACTGTAAGTTTTGTTCGAAGAGTAAATATCTATAATCTTCCTGTTGGCATACACAAAATTGGACAATGTGTGTGAAACAAAGCTGTACATTTGTTGTTTGTAAATTTTTTTTTTCTTTCTCAGTCAATATTTGAAGTTGGTGGTATCAAAACTTCTAAAACTAAGAAAATCATAAACATATCATCTGGTAGCATGGATTATTTTCTTTCTTACATTGGTGATTGTAAATTTCTAAAATTTTAGTTTTTACCAGAAAAGCCTATTGTAATCATACACCTTCAAACCAATATGGGCTTACTCTACAATGGCTTTCTATACAGTTATGTCATGTAACGATTTTTATTTCATTATAAAATGTATATTTAAAAAATAACTCTGAGGTTCAAAAATTTTTGATGGTTTATGTAAGTGTTTGTGTTTCAGGCAGTTTTGCTTTTGAGTTATAAATTTTTATGAATACAGTTGTAGTAGTGGCCAAAGTCGTGTCACTGGACTGGACAAAAAAGGTGAACCGAATGGAAGCACAGTCGTAATAGTTACAAAAAATGGGAAGTTTTTTTTAGAATAAATTTGACGATAGATGGAGACAGTGTGGCTTGTTGTTTGACGACTGAAATAAAAAAAATGGACACGGAGATACTTTCCCCTTAGGTTCACGAACAATTAAACCGGTATTCCCAGAAGTAGATCAACCCGACTTGTCTAATTACGTAACAGTGATTTCACACAAAATTTTGTCAGTCTTTTTTACAATCTTTATAAATGGGCTTGAGAATTAGGTAAAGGAATCCTACAATACAACATATTTACTGTTTCATAATACACATACATATTACATTACAATATAGACTGGACAGTAATTACTTTCAGGCTGGATAAGTAAAACTATTTTACGTGTTTAAGTATCTACTCTGTTGCAAACTTTACTATGGCAGGCTAAGCTACTTGCATACGGTTGTATTTCTTTATTCGACAATAGGCATAGCAACACGTGGGATATAAGAAGCGAACGACACATTTATAATTGTTGTCCAATCCTGACGCAATCAACAAACTGAACATACTGTTTAGTATCAAACCATACTGGTTCTAGTTTCCTGTTTACCTGCTTAGCCGAATGACAGCCTTGATCAGGGCCATTAAGAATTTCATAATAAAACACCGAAAAGTTCAGTGCCAGGCCTAGACGAGTATGGTTGTGTTGGCTGAAATTTACTCTTTGCAATATCTAAAGCTCTCTGTGACTGAACAATCACACCTAGAGATCAAGAAAGAAGGAAAATATTTTTAGAATGTTTTACCTGTTTTGCCAACTGACAAGCCTTGTCAGGAGAATTCAGTATTTCATAATAAAATACAGAGAAATTCAATGCTAGGCCCAACCGAATAGGATGTGTTGGTTGCATTTTTGTTTTACTGATATCAAATGCTTCTTGGTAGGCTTTTTGAGACTCATCTACAACACCTGTAAGTTAAAAAAAAAACTGTAATCAGTTTAGTTCTCAATCTGTTAAAGTAACAAAAGTTTTGACAAGAAAACAAATATTTGCACCATAAAACTATGACACGCTCATATTTCAAATCCAAACAGAAACATATGCACTGTATTTCTGTGAGAACTCAATGATAAGTAACTACAGAGCTAATATTATTATCAGATGTTATAAACATTACTACTGCATTTAGTTATGTATTTTATTCTCTATTATTTGCTGATCGTCACAGGATGTACTATGAAAGAAAGTATACAGAGAGTAAATTTTGTACACGTATTCATGCAGATACACACCATATATGGAACACACCAATCCACAAGAAAAAAAACAAACAAAATCAGAGATATTCAAGTACACAGTTTCAATTGATTTTACACAGACAGACTTAAAAGCTAGATATTTTTAAGTTGTGTATGAGGTATTTCATTTTCGCAAATTTTTTTAATTACCTTCACCATTTCAGGCTAGAATATGCCCTTTATATTTGAATTTTAATATCTTACAGGAACATACAATACATCATTCTACAAAACACACACACACACACACATCAGGATGCAAATTGGTATTATCATATATATATATATATACTTTAATTTTTATAGTACGTTGTTAATAAGCCAAAACACTAGTAAAAAGTCTATTCATGAAACAGGTCCAGAGAGCATTAGTGAAAATAAACTCCAGCCAATTTGAAGTGTCTTGTGAACCTGATGTTGAAACTTTTTAAGAGATTAAATCCTTCGAGCGACACTCTGCTTTGCCAAACTGCACATTGTTCAGGTGTCAATGTGTAAAAGTATGTTAACTTTATCGCAACGGAGCAGCAAAATCATAGTTAGGTTTGGTTAGCATGAGAAATACATGTCCCAGATACACCAACAAGATTCCACAACTACCAAGCCAATCCTCCTAATTAATGCAGGAGTTGAAAGAAATAACTATGAAAGTTAAAGATGAAAGCAGTAGAAGAATGCATACTGGACTTTCAGAATAATAGTTGGGGAACCACTTGTAAATTCTAACTATTACTAGGCTAACACTACAGGTGTCTACAAGACCAAAAGCCAGTCTTGGTGAGGGTTGATAAAATGGTTGAGCTTTTGGAACTTCTCACTAAATGGACAACCATTCTTGAATCAGATACCTCAGCACGCAAAAAATATATCAGCCACCAGTATAAAATGTCCCTAAACTACTATAATTTAACCAACTTTCTCTAATAGCAACATAACAATCATGTAGCTAGACTTTGGTGAAATTAATAATTTAGGTATCAACTGTTAACTAGCTTCCTGTACAGGAGAGTCTGTTCTGATTATAAAAATTCATTCAGCTATGTAAAGTTGATTAGTAATCAGTGTTTAAATTCAGTTGAAACGTATTGATATCTCAGTATATAAAAGAAGATACAAGATGTAAGTTTTAGATTCTTACTTGTAATTGTGTATAGCTTATGTTTCTAATTAGTTTGAGATTCCAGAAGCATAAACTTAATAACGAGAAAAAAATTTTGAGGGCGAGAAGTCAGAGCTCAGATGCGTCACGTGACACATAACAATGATAACTTGGTTTCTATTTGAAATTAACAATTTAAATTTCATTCAATATCAAAATTAATTATAAATTACATTTACACGCCAAGTTTATTAACAAAAATTGATGATAATATAGTGGTTTAATTATATTTTGAATGTAACACTAAAAGGTAATTACACGCCCACTCTTGACCCTGCTATAGTAAAAGAGTTAAGAAAATCCACCTCATTCCTATATTTTGAATTATTGCATAAAAGAAATTCACTGATTTGGTGTCAGACCATTGAAACCGATACAGTTGATGCCACAACAGGCTTTGGAATGCTTGTACTTTATAGTTCATTCCACTCCACAAGTTTGGTGATTGCTTGTTTCAGCTTTTTTCTTCTATACTGGATATTTGACCAATAAGGAGAGAGAGACTGGTTAAGAAGTGAAAGGCTAACATCCAAAGACTTCTTCATTCCTTCCACCACTAGGTTCTGATTCTTGAAGCAAAGTGTCAGATGAGTACTGAATTCCTTTTTCTGAAACTCTCTTGGGAAAAGGAATGCCTGGAACTATCTTTCTGCATACATTAACAGCGTGGTTTCAAATTGAGAGATTGACGAGTGGCTCTTGCTGTCACTGTTACTTCTCTCGGAGATTTCCTTTTCAACTTTTCACGGTACTTATAAGAATCACAGTAGTAATTTTGTCTCTCTCAGAACTCGTATACATCAGTGAACATAACTGTTGATCAAACCTGTGAGAAAGACAAACTGACATTGGAGTAGTTTAAAACCTACCAAAGTGATTCTCTTTATGAATGCAAGTCCCCAAAACTATGAATAAGATAATAACTAAGTTATGTTCTCATAATCTGAGTCCATCCAGTTCACAAATGACTGGACCGGCATTAGAGATCCATACATTGCTACTCCTTCCAACCTTGCTTCTATCTATATGCCAATCAGAACTACTGGAATATTTATTCTGAAATTTTCAGAGAACGTTAACAATGCCATATACTGCAACTGGTAAAATGCTTGTGGCCATAAATATCATGGAGTAGACAGAGGTTTAGATCAAAAGGCAACTCTGAAAATAACTTTTTTAATTTAGGAGTCTTTTACATGGATGTATAAAAATGGAATAAAAAAAGACTGGGATCTAAGAGAACTTCAAAATAGTACAACAATCATCTTCCTAAGTGCAGCACACCAGAAGATATTATCAATTGAACGTTACCAGTCAATGGCTGATAACTTTGGCTCCGAGCAATTTTCATAATGCAAAATTTAGAGAAAATGAATACCGGCCATATCAAATTTTTACCAAAATCATGATAACTTGGTGTATAAAAACCCATTCAAGTACCAATATTTTAAATATTTACCACTGGATATAGCAATATTCAATATGACAATAAACACTTGAACTAAACAGTTAGGTTAGAGACCCCTAGGATTCACATATAGCCATCCTTAATTCTGAACTAGACCAGAGAGAGGGTAGCCAGCTAATACCACTCTCTGGCATAAGGGTTATTATCAGCATTTTGAACTGAATAATGGGATTGACTGTCATTTTTATAACACTTTCACAGTTGAAAGAGTGGTGTGTATTCAGAAAAATCACATCTTGATTCCAGGATCCTGCAATTTGACACCTCTGGAAAATGTTTGTGTAAAAGGCCTTAATTTGAAATAATATACTAAGTAAGTTTCGTATGCTCCTTCAAACTGCAAAAATAAAACAAGTAAATGAAAAAATTCACTGTTATATATCACTTACTGTTTTTCTGATCTCCACTTGCAACCTCAGCCAGATATCTATAATAATCTCCCTTCATCTTCAGGTAAAAAACTTTGCTTTCTGCATTACTAGCTTTAGGAATCAGGAACTTGTCTAAAAGACCCTGTAACAGTTAAGATAAATGTAATTCTTTATTTATTATTAACCCTATCTAAATGGGTCTGTCCACTGGACTGAGCCCATATTGAAGAATTAATGTGTATTATAATTCTGAATTTATGTGCAGCTTTACGAAATTAGGTAAGCTTTTAGTAAGCATGTAAAAAAACAGTAAAAATTAGTTTTACTGACTCAGCCTGACCCACAGCAGTCTGAGTGAAAGGTGATTTTCATGTTAGCAATAATATATTTTTTTTTTTAACCAGAATGATTGCATATTGCAACAGGAAAACTATATATTTTAAGAGACTTAGACTGATTTAGCTTCCCACAACTGTTTTAGTTTTCTTTGAACCACGTCTAACTACCATAAAAAGCAATAAATTAAAACTTATACTAACATATGAATTACAAAGTATGTTTCGATGCCAGATTTACTGCTGAATGTTGAAAATGAATCCAATTTTGAATGTAACTCTGTAAAAGAGCCCCCTGAAGCACAGAGATTATCACATTTTTCCTTTCATAAAACACTGTAATATATATATTTAATGTAATGCTACCCTAAAGCAATGGTGTTTGAAACACTTTAAAGTCATACAGTCCTTATAGAAATGATCTTAAACAGGTCAGATAAAAATGGTCAGTATTTAAGCAGTAATGATTAGAAGGTCAATAACTTCATTTCAAATGAAAAATATGTTAAAATTATATTAAGATAGGTAAAAATAACCCAAGGGTATTTAGAGAGCATAAAACATTTTGGTTTTTGTTGTCAAGGTGACCTTATTAACTTGTGTTTTTATTAATACACTATCAAAATTAATGGAAAAAATTATTTAGTTTACTATGGCATTAGTACATCTCACCCACCATGTAAGCTTCCTAAACAACTTTCAACTGAACAAAGTTTCCATTCTTCTGCTAATAAATTATAAAACTCTTGATAATTTAAACAATAAAACTTGTATATTGTAATAAACCCTGTTCAGTGTTGTTCATACCAGATTAGAGGAGTTGTTTATTCTATCTGCTATTTACTGTTTTGAGCATTTGCCAACTGCTGCGTTCGCCCGAAGAGATTAAAACTGTGTGCTTTAACACCAGTGACTTTTAAAAAAGTTTAGTCCCCAGTTTTCAGACTGACAGACAGTTTTGTCAGGTGTAAAGTAAGATAGAATGGATAACTTATTGAACCACAAATAAGTAGCAATAATATACAATATGCATTTATGGTTTACAAAATTGTATATAACTGCTCATTACCTTATGATTGAATTACTTAATATTTTTATTCAGTTGTATATATTTTAAATTTCTAAGTATTTTTGTGATGATAAATGCAGGTTACATAATTATGGCATCCTAGGCTCTATATTGAAAAGTGTATGACAATTAAATATATACGCTTGTATATATCTCCATCTGTCTGTAAATGATTACAGTTACCACATAATTATATCTTATAGTATATAAAAAATAAAACTGGAATATAGAACTGAGAGAAAGACACTTTAGTAAAATGTAGTCATCATAATTAGTTAGGATGAGGGTTTTAAAATAACATGCTTTTCTTTACCTCCTTTTCATCTCAACAACAGTTTCCTGTTTAATAATGCTACCAGTTTGTCTCTATAATATTATCACTACCATTTGCTTTAATTTAAACTTCAGTTGCAGAGAAACCTCATTAATCTGGACATCGACAATCCAGATGTATAGACAAATCTTTACATGCTCGTGTTATGAATGTGAACAGCTATTTCTCGTAACAGATATGCACTTCCCATTGATACGTGATTTCACGAGTCACGTAGGGATTGATCGGAACTGGAAACAAAGTAATAATTACTGACCATGAAACACCTGCACTAACTAGTTGGTATTGGCTTACAATAATTTTTCTGAGATGACCATCACAGTAGGACTATATATATATATCCAAAGGTCATCAAAGTAATTTACGGTAGAATCAAATCAGTGTGTTCCCAAATGATAACATGCAGGAGTATCAGTCATTAAAACATAACGTTCATAGAAGAAAGCAAATCACCGTGCAAACCCAGATAACATCAATAAGCATTTCAGCGTAGAAAGACGTCCTCACGGGCAAGTAAACCATACCGATATTCTTTGGGTAAATATTCTAAACGAGGTCATGACATTCAAAGCATGTAAACACAGAACAAGCTTTTTATCTTTAGATGAGTGATAGTACATAAAAAAAATCTACGTGTTAATGATGAACTGCTTATTGAGAAAGCTAATCAACTTGGACAACTGCTTAGTGTAGCAGAGTTTGGACACTCCTGAGGATGGCTCTGTTTCAAAGAACACTTCAGAATAAGGAAGACAAATCTGGAAGGTGTGAAACAGCAAGTGCCAATCAAAAACAATAATTAAATATAGTAAAAATGCTATTGACTCAGAAGAATCAACTAGTCAAGCTTCTGAATAAAGATATTCTCATCTTGTGGTGACAGTGAATCTAGACATCAAAAGTGATCCACCAGTCAAGTCAGTCAGTTTTAAAGAAACATCACATGGTTTGAACATAACAAATTTATGTGAAGACAAAACAATGCATTTTTTTTGCTTAAAGCTGTTGGAGAAACTTCAAATGAAATAAATTCAGTTCAAAGCCAAACAGTGATTACATTCTTCTTTAGAATGTGATTTGTTGCATATCTAACCAATAACATGTACTCTGGTTTGAAAAATGATGTTTTAAAGTAAAGATAATGAAATACCACTTTGTTTAATTAATGAAGTACAGAATAATAGATAGGTAAGATTACTTTACATACAGGTGACTTTTCTTTACCAGTTACACGCCCACCTCCACATTTCCTGATCGATAACCGCTATCATTAGTGTCCACTGCATCCAAAGTTATTGATTTCAATATCTGGATGTCTCAATAATTTGGATGAATTAGTTCATTAAAAATGCACTAGGATTAACAAGGTTTCACTGCTTGTTTTCTTTTATATATTCTGATCCCTTACAAAGGACTACAAGTATGAAAGTTATGGACCAAATAAACCTTTTCATTTTTTTAAATAAAAAAGTATGCTCCATGAATGATGCTTCTATTTGTAATGGTTCAGGCTAAGTTAACTTATAATTGTTTTGTTTTTTAAATTTTCTGTACCTTTGTAAACTATAGGGTTAGAAATTATCAATGCCTAGCTGGCAAAATGCCAGTGGGTTCTACATGTTTACCCAGTGACCAGCAAGGAGCACCAATATCTTTTTGGTACTTGATAATATTGATCCAGTTCTACGCAATGGTCAAAATTACATTAAAAATCTAGCTGCAAGCACAAATTTTAAGGCAAAAAAGAAAGCACTACGATCATTTATTAAACCTATTCTGATTTTTGAATGTTATTAAAAAAATATCACGCAAGCACACTCGCAGTTTATTATATATTTTTACGTTTCATATCAAAAATGTAATTATTGTTACGAATGTAGAAAATTTGATAGACTTCAGGGGTTATGTAACCACGGAACTACGTAAATTTAAACTTCATCTTGAAAGTTCTGATTTGGAATTTTTTTCCCATGGTGAAGGTGACAGCAGTTTTTTTTTAACTCTCGACATAAGCCAATCAAATCATCAAGAGGTTACATGCTTATTATTAGAGGATTATGGAAGAGTTAACGATGAGTGGAAAATGTGTCATGTTTCTTTTTCAGCACACAATATTGATCTATTTTGAAAGTATTGTTTGTCATGGGAGGTAATTGTTAATTTTGCAAGGTATATATCATAAAACAGAATATTAAGATTTAATAACTTTGATTCAAGATTTAATTACATTTTAAGGTGACAATAAATTAAACTTGGATATTGCTGCCTTTAATGTTATTCACTATTTTTAGCCAACTGGTACGGTGTAAAACTGAGTCAAATTCTGGCCACAAACTACAGGCTGATGAAAATTTAAAAGAATGAAAAGGCAAAAACATTTCACAAAGCTTTAAACCAGAATGATTTGAGTTGATATGTGTAAAATACCAAAAGATTTTGGCACTGTTCAATTTATAAAGAAGCAGGAAAAATCATGGACATGAAAAGTTAAAAAAAAAAAATTATATATATATATATATATATATATATATATT